AAGAATATACAGTATACGTGTTGAAATAAATGTTAAATGTCACGTTTTATTTTGAAAGTATTCAGCGGAAGTTCTTCTCATGTATTGTAGTTCCTGTCTGTTACCACAGGAGGGCAGTACAACTCTGTGTCGAATAGAAAATAATTTTTGTTGAATGCTATTGTGTTTGCCTGTATGTTAGTGAAGTCAACTATGAGAAGCCCCCCCCCCCNNCCCCCCAATTATACACTGATTATTAGTGTACGTTTTAGCCCTGTTTGTTTCTGATGATTGAGTTGACATGTTTATTTATAATCGCGAGTGTTTGTTGCCCTCTTGTGGCCACTTGAAGGAACTGCAACATTGATTTCGTCAAGTTAGCATTAATGCAGCCATGTACCACACCAACACTTCCGGTAAATACTTTCAAAATATAGCGATGGCCGCTATAAAAACAAAGTATTTTTTTAACTTTATTTACAGTTTTTTTTTTCTTACCTATAGTCACGTCTAGTTAACAATACTTCTGAAAAGTCATAGTAGTATGTTAAAATGAATAATTTACACCTGATAGCGTACTACCACTTCCGGTAAATTCTTTCAAAATACAGTTACCAAACTGAAGCAAAAAATCATGAATTTCATCTGAAAATAGTTGGAAAAAAAAAAACCTTTTTGTCATTATTCTGTTTTCTTCTATTTTCTTTCGACTATTGTAAGAACTTAAATAACTCTTAGTAGATTTATCGTAGGCTAGAACCTTTATCTGCTATGCAAAGCAACAAAAACAAGTTCATATCACAGACAGCTAGTCAGCCGTAGAGATATTTGTCATATATCCTTAGACCAATTAATTTTATCATTATTACCCTGGAATAAAAGATAAATAGGTTACTTGGAGATGTGGGCAGTGAGTCACAGGTCTGGCACCAGGACCAGACTGACCATATCTTTGCCAGTTTATGCTAATGTTACTAATACGAGTGCGTACGCCCTCTGGTGGTCGCAGTCAAAACTACAATTACACAACACAAGCGTCAAGGCAGACATAATAGCATAGGACCAACTTCCGGTCGTTACATTCAAAATAAATGTTAAGCCAGGGGTAGTAATTACGCACTGTCACCACCGGAGGGCAGTGTATGCTATTAATGTAAAATCTTTCATCTCAACCATCAACTCCATTATGTGTAGTGAACAGAAGAAAATGCACCACCAGCTTTTCCACCTAATATTTTATCATATTGTATTATTTTATGTGGTTTTACTTGTGTATTTGTTAAACTCACTTCATGTGGGTTGGAATTATTTTCTGTGTTATATACGGTGGGTTAACTAAACGCACTATGCTTTCCGCTGAACTCTTTCTAAATAAAATTCTCTCAACACAACTGTGCGACCATCAATATCATACTAACGCTTCCATGGGAGACCTTCAGAATAAACCTGTCTACTATAAGTGTAGATTGGATACTATCTGTGATTTTGTTAAAAAAAAATCATCTGCTTACCTGTCTGAGAGGCTGTGCTGGAAGGACGATGTGGATCCGCACTAATATGTAATATTATATAAGCTTTTGTTCATAGACCTTAGTCGGGCACTCGAGGCAAACCAAGTGAAGTTGCCGTGTAGATATTCCTGTAATTAGCCCCATGAAAAACATCTGTGTATCCCTGACAGAAGATCAAGGGTATTGTAGTTTTTTCACATCTGGACTACAAAAAAATAAAGGGGACAAAGATATGTATGAGAACGAGTATGTCATTTAAAAAATATATAAATATTCCCTTGGCAGTGTGAAAAGACATCTGGGAAATTGATGTATATCTCATTACAGCATATAGTTCAGAAAGACTTCATTTAACTGCAAAGCATGAGGAGCCTCCAAAGCATTTCTCTGTAAGCTATCATTTTTCTCAGGATCTCCTTGTCTGACAAGTTTAACATGCTGATCTCCTGAAATCTGAGGAAAAAGATAATGAAGATACTTCTCCCTAAATGTCCATTAATTCGCTGTACAGTAGACCTTGGACATTAATACAAATAAATATCTTATTACACCTGCTACTTTACAGGAGAGAGAAAGATAAATTCATAGATTTTTTGCTATTCAGTACAATTCTCAATAAATCATAATGACAGGACATGGAATGGACCATTTTTGATTTGTAGTGTTTACGGTGCTGTTACTCAACCGTACTTCTTCAACACATTTCCAGATGTCAGTTTGTCATCCTCTGATAAATGCATTGGATTACAGATATCAGCAGTACAATTTCTACTGT